GTTTAAATTTCTCTAATTTTCTTTTGAGTAGCATTGTCACTGTCTTCATCTTCAGTACATGTCCTTTGTTTTTGTTATTGGCAGTGTGTCATGTATGTGCAATTGGGTTATTGGTGGTAGCATAGAGGGATTCATCATGCAATGAGATTATGGCATGGTGTAGGAAGTTTTAGATTTGCCTTGTTGTGTATATAATTGGGATCTTAGTTGTGCTATGAACTCTTTATCTTACAATCACATGTTGATATTTGGTAGTAGTAGTTTTTCCCTACATGTTTTATGTGTTGTGAGATGTGTGTCGTAGGTTATCATGTGAAATTATTGAACAAAATATTAATATTTATTATATTTGTATAAAATACTTGGTAAATATATATATATATATATATATATATATATATATATATATATATATACTAGTATTTGTCCCGTGCGATGCACAAAAAATGTGTTATAAAAATATACACTATATGAGATTTATTCATATATAAAATTTTTGTTATTTAATAATTATTATGTGTGAATTCCTATGATAAAATTATGAACATAAATATATTTACAATTAAAATAATATTTAAGGTGGGTGATTACTACAAATCTTAAACTATATTAAAAATTTAGTACATAGTATTTAATATTATAAATTTTTAAGAACTTAGTAAACTACAATAGTAATTGAATTACAATTTTAGAGTCACCACGGATCAAAATTTTTAGACCTTTGAGATTTCTAACTCTAGATGTAGCAACATGCAATTGATCTTTAAAGACAAAATCACAATCTTAGTTAGAACATTGATTTTTTTCTTCCAAATACTATCGAATTAAGTGTGTAATCAATAAAAGATGAGAACTAATAATTCGAGAATATAATCTTAATGTTACTAAGCCTACTTCATGTCAATTAAGTTGGAGAGTGTCGTTGGATAGTATCCGATGAATCCACGAATAACACATCTTTGTCTCCGTAGTCCTCAATATGCACATCAACAATCTTAAATATTAAGCCACATAGCTATGCTATATATTAATTTCAAACTTATGGACTTTGGGGTTGCATGCATGCTTCTTAAAGCCATATGGCTTTAAGATATGAAAATTCAATGTTGCATTTAATTTTCACATATTAAAGTAATTTTCACATCTTAAAGCCCATTTAATTTTCACAAGACTTTCACATCTTAAAGTCATATGGTCTTGTGAAAATTAAATGCAACATTCAATTTTCACAAGACCATATAGCTTTATTATATATAGGATATGTTGGAAAAATAACATTAAAATGGCATTTTAAGTGGCTATTTTGTGGTACAATTATCAGTGGGGTCCACTTCCGATTTGGATCGGGTCAAAGTGAATTCGGGTTCTTCGTAGTGAGACGAAGAGATTGATATATTGTACGCTCAAAACAGATAATGGGTGAATGAGATATTGATTCTCAAAGTAGACCCATTGAGTTGGAAAAATGTAAGGGAAAAGTGAGCTTTGTCCCACATTGATTTGGAAAGAGGATTTCACCCCCTTTTATACAAGAGCTCTTTTAGAGCTTGTAGAATTGTATAGCATAGAGGCTCTCTCTCTCGCGCGCGCGGACGGGGGTGGGGGTGCAAATCAAATTCCAACTAGAAACGAGATCGAACAGCTCGTGTGCGCCGGCACCTGGGGGCACGAATGTCGTCCGAACTTTCGTGCATCCCGAAAGTAACTGAGCTGAAACAGCGCGGACCATTCGTTGGTTCTGGACTGTTACAGAATTAATCTTGTATTAATTCCACCTTTTGAATTTTTGAGTTAAATCTCAATAATGGTGGCTGTTTCAGGTGTTACAAATCGTGGATTAAATGCTAAACTAAATGCTATTGATTCCTCACCTCCTATATAACAAGGGGTGTAGCAGCAGTGTTTCTACACAGACTGAAAACAACACACACAACACTGAAATTCTGTTTTCCCAGCTCCAAAATCTCTGCTCCTACTCCCTTCTTGTAGTTGTGTTTGTCCCATGCTCTAGTTCGCCGGGTTCGTTCGTTTGGGTGCTCAAACGTCGAACCGTTGTACGTTTTATCCTAGGAAGCCTAGGCCACAATGCTCCTAGCACTTTTGGGAGGTGGCAAATAAGGTTTTAAGGAAAGAAAGGCATCTCGCCTAACTCGTATATTTCTTTCTTCTTCTCCTTCTTTCTTGTTGTTGGATTATGCTTTTAAGCAAAAATCCATTCTCCCTCTTTTGATATATACGTTGGATTGGACTTATAATCTGGGGATTATTAGTTCCAATTTCTTGTTGATATATATTGGTATATCTTTCTCGTAGATATACATATATATATAACCTTTGGGTCCGTTTATATATATTTGTGTGTATATATATATTACGGATAAAATATCAAATAATATTTTATATACTTGTGTGTGTATATATAAATATTATTTTACGATATTAAATCGATTTTGGTTCATTATCACCAACAATATATATATATATATATATATATATATATATATATATATATATATATATAACATATTTTGTATTATAACTTTGATATTTAATACAAAATAATGTAAAAAGAAGACAATAGACAATGTAGTGAATATAATAAATTAATAAATTTGAAGGTAATGAATCTTTGAATTGTGGAAAATAAAGATAATATAACTAATGAAATTATATCTCTTTTAAAATTTTTTATAATGAATAATTCTTTTTAAATAGAGCCATTATAGACATCTAAATCTAAATTAATTAAATGCATATGTATTACTTTTTGTTGTAGCTACTAATTTATTTTTTAATTTAATAAGAGCAATAAAATGGCGTACATACTTTTCATCCACATAATGAAATCATTGATTTTTTAATTTCTATTCGTTGTTGAGACAAATTATTTTGAGAGTTTGTCAATGACAATTGCTGTCAATAGAAATGATAATAAATAATTCAAAATATAAGGTTACAATAGATATTGTTATAACAATATAGTAAAAATTAACTTACAACTTTTTTTAGAAGTTTTCATGCATTGATAAAAGCATAATTGAAATATTAAATTTTGTTCTCAAAAATCAAAAGAAGATTAATTAAATGAAAAAAAAATTAACTTTTTTTTTAATGAAAGAAAATCAAATGATTTTTAAAGTTCATGATTTATAATCATTTAATGCTATGTATTTAGTCGGGTTAATTATTTGATAAAGATTATGTTAAATTTTATTATTATATTTTTAATACATTTTAACATATTCGTACGTAGTATATGTTTAATAATTATGCCACTCTAATTGGGATGTGGTTCGAACTTAAGACCTTTCTTATAGAAATTAATGAGCAAGTTAAGAATAATAAATAGTTAACGGAATATTCCGTTAATAAAGTTTATACTAACAAAATTTAAGGTTATTTAATGGAAGAAAATAATATAATAAAGGGTAAATAAGAAAAATCATTAAAAAAATACTAAAATCAAAATAATATCAACAATTCATTTTAAGAAACAATTACCACCGAAATTTTTTTATTCCAGTTAAGGGCCTAACATTATTGGCTCTTATTAGAATTGTAGATGCAGATATTTATATGTAAGTATGCAACCTTAAATATATGTACATGCATGTACAAAAATACCCATGTATTGTACCGTGAAGTCGATGCCCCTGCACCCCTGACCCACTCCTCTCCGCTCCTAACATATCATTCTCTAGTACATATGAGACATACATAACAAATCTACCACCTTGATGAATATGCTCCTTAGGAGAAAAAAAAAAAACAATATCACATATACCCATGAGTCAAGGTAACCATGCTCATCTAACATTTGGAAGCGCCCAACAACTCCAAACAATGTTTGAACTTGGTAATTGCCTTTGTCAACATGTCTACTATACTCTCACTAGTACGAATTGTTTGCAACAATATCTCACAAGAAACAACAAACACTAGTAAAAAAACAGCTTTCTACATATAGAGCTTTTTGTGTCTATTAGTACATCAGACGCATATGTATAAATTGTATATTTTTAGTATTAGAATTTTGAACTTCTAGAATATAAATTGTGCTTTTAAAGTCAAAACACGTAACAACTGTAGAAGAAAATTTGTGAATATAATAAAATGTCATCAAATCCTAATTTGTTAATAATGTTTGACTGCAGTATTTGAAAAGAAATTGTAAATACAAAACAAAGTAATTAATTACATATATGTTAACATTGTATGTTTGTAGTATATAAATTGTAAGTCTTTAAAAGATAAATAGTGAATATTTAGATCCGGATTCACTGAATAATTTGTAAAAAGAGTAAATACCCAAAATGGTCCTTCGACTATAGCTAAATTCACATATTGGTCCTCAACTTTCAATTTTAACCAATTAAGTCCTTACTTTATAATTTTAACACAATTTGGTCCTTTGTCTATTTGACCGTTTGTTGACTGTGATTTTTGAGGATATATATGTAATTTCATGGTCCATCGACGGCTTTTTTAAGGTTCTGGTTGCATTTTCAGACCGCATTGTTACATTTGAATCCACTGCCGAAAGCAATCTACCAAATCCGGTCGCCTTTCTTCATCCTCCCTTTGGATTCAATGTAGTTGAGTTCGTACCAGAGCGAAGAAGACGACGTGTTTCCGAACCAGTGCAACTTCATCCTGGAGGCCTTCACGTGCTCCGACGAGAGCTAAAGGTTCTTCTGGAGATCGTCGATCACGATCAACAAACGGTCAAATAGATGAAGGACCAAATCGTGTCAAAATTACAAAGTTAAGGACTTAATTGGTTGAAATTGAAAGTCAAAGACCAATTTGTGAATTTAGTTATAGTGGAGGAACCATTTTGGGTATTTAGTCTTGTAAAAATGTAGCCGACTATTCGACTTTAGGCTTGTTTGCTAAAGGATGAATCTACTAAAATTTTAACGGATCTATCATTTTTTATGTTTTGACCAAAACGCCAAAATTTTCGTTTAGTGCGCGTTTGCTATTGTAAATTTCTAGTTCATCGTCACTTCTTTCTCCTTTTCTAAACTCCCGCTCAAGAAAGCACCGTTAAATCATTCGAACCCGAGATACTGAACAGTACAGGACAATTCCATGGACGACGTTGATCGCTTATTCGAATGCTTCAAATGCGGCTTTTCTCCTCCGCGTATTCTCTCTTATGATCTCTGGTTTTCATATATTTGCCCCTTTTTTGGATTTTAATCTCATACCCTAAAACTAAAACCTTCATAACTCGAAACATAGGAATGGGAATTTCAATGTGGTGACATTTCTGCTAGAAATTGAAGTTAATATTTTTCTTCTGCATGCTAGCTTTATGTAATTGGTGGATTTGATTTTCGTTATCTTCATGTGTGTTAACTTTTGGGTTCATAAAGTGAAAAATGTTCACAAAAAATGGAAAATTTATGCCCAATTTGATGCTTCGGGATACTGTTGGTTGCTTGTTTCTAGTGCAGAATGTAAGTTATGGCTTTTGTTTTTGTTTTTTCTCTCTCAGAATCTGCTATTATAGAGAGAAAAAGAGGAAAAAGAACTACAAAGTCGGAAGATTCAGCACAGAAACAATCAACTGAAAAAATTCTCCAGACCACTGCAGATGCTGACCATTCTGTTGAAAATGTATGCATTGTTTTTGTTCTTTGCTTATGATTATATTGCTGAGCTGCAATTTATCTTCCTTTATTCTGCTTTTCTATAAGATTTTTGTGTCTTTCATATGCCGAAATGTGGTTGATGCTGCTGTTAATCAGTATGTGCTTTGTTCTTTCAGTTGGGTTCATCAAAACCCAAGAGAAAATATCATAGCAACGGGAAGCAGTTCTGTCCCCTCGTGTTTTATGGGTCTCCACATGGGGTTCCTCCAAAGAGACCAGCTAGTTTGTTGCGATTGTTGCATGAAATACGTGTAGATCTCAGTGAACAAAAGAAGCTAAGGTAAAATGCCTATTAGTGTGCCATTTGTCGCCTGTCTTTATCTTTAAGTGATTAGTGATGAGTTCAAGTATTTTGCATTTTATTAATCGCATATTTAATGCTATAACTTTCATTGTTTTTTTGACTTACTTTGATGTTTATGTAGCCAAGAAATATGGGCTACATTCCCAAAGCAGGTTGAAGCAATGAAATATGCAGAACAGTGCATAAATGCTCGTGTTTTTAGTTATCAGGACCATATAAATGGTTACAGAAGGTTCCTTGTTTCCACATATGAGGACTTCTGGAAAAGGTAAACTACTAAAATACCAATTTTCTTTAAACTAATATACTTTATGCCAAGTGCCTCCTAAGGTTGATTATTCTTGTAATCTTATTTAGGTATAAAAGTATGAATCCTAAAAGGAGACATCATTATGAAGTCATTCAGGAGGTAACATTATTTGCTGTTAATCCTTTATCCTTTTTTTTTTTTTACAACAATCATGTTTATTGATATAAAACATCATAGTCCACTAATGATATTACATTTGTACCTATAGGTGATTGCAGTTAATTTTGAGTTGATGATGCAAATTTAGTATCTATCTTTCTCTATCTGCATTTAAGTGTTGTGTAGTTGAGCTTTATACGGATGGTTATGCTTCATTCCCAGGGTTTACCATGCCACCTTTATTTTGATTTGGAGTTCAATAAGAAAGCAAATGCAGACAAGAATGGAGATGAAATGGTTGACCTCCTAATTGTGGCTGTCTTTGACACACTGCTACAAAAGTATTCTCTTGAAGGAAGTCATGACTGGATTGTTGAGCTTGATTCTTCTACTGAAGGTATGGTAATAGTTGCTTTCTTCAACACATGCTTTTGGGTTTATGTCTAAATTACATATGCATTATATCTATCTGCATAACTAATAGTGTACAACTCAGTTGGAGGGTAAGGTTTTTAAATTTTTTTATTTATATGAATGGACTTGGCCATAGAGATTCATACAAATGCTGCCACTGTTTTTTTCCTGATAACATTAATAAGATTGTATTGTGAATTTCTGATTTTATAAATATCTTTTGTGGCAGATAAGTTCTCCAGACATTTAATTATTAGATTGCCAAAAATTGCTTTTAAGGACAACTCACATGTTGGGGCTTTCACAGCTGAGGTATGCATATCTTCTTTGCCATGATAGTGGAGCTTCGTTTTTATAAAGTTCTTGTTAAACCTGTGTTTGTGATACTTCAAAGTTGAGGAGTGCCAATTGGACTATCATTGTAAGTAAAGGGTTTTGCAAGTCATTGGAATATTGCATAAATGCCTAGTTAACAATTCAGGGTTTCCCTTTTCTCTTTTGAACAACTGAAGTGACTGCTAGATGGTTTCAGGTATGTTCACGGATATATAGTTCAAGTGAAACGGATGAGAGATTCAGAAAGCTTTTTGTGTCAAAAGATTCAAAATCAGTTGGAATTCCAGCTCAACTCTTTGTTGATAATGCTGTCTACTCTAGAAATCGCTGCTTTCGGCTAGCTCTCTCATCTAAAGCTGGGAAAAGTTCTGTGCTTATACCAAGCGGGCGCTTTAAATGTAAGAACATGGTATGCAGCTAATTTTAATTTACTATGTATGATCTGATTACTTTGAATTTGAATATCCAGTTCTAGTACTCTTATCCCAATTTATATGAGTGAATTATTTTTGGGTTATAGGAGTAGTATTGGGACACTTGATGTCTTTTCCTTTCCAGAATACACATGTTAATTACTCCAGCATTTGACATGTTAATACTTCTTTAAAAAAAAAAAAGTTGAGTAAAAGACCTTTTAATTTCGCGGCAGAGTGAGGATGAAATGTTTATGGCATCACTGATTTGCAATATTGATGCTGACTGCGAGAGGCTTCTGGTCTGTAAAATGGATTCAGATTGTGTAAGGACCCTGCACTTTAATACAGAGGTAATTATTGGCTTCTCACTTGTTATAATCTTGTAAAATCAAGTGTTATTGTTCATAGTGATAGATTTGGTCCTGCTAGCCCCCTTCTCCTGTTCTGTAGAGATAATTTGCTTAGGGGTTGCTATGCATTGAAAGCCAAACCTAAAGTTTTATTTCTTACACAGATTGCCCTTCTCCTGTTCTGTAGAGATAATTTGCTTAGGGGTTGCTATGCATTGAAAGCCAAACCTAAAGTTTTATTTCTTACACAGATTGCCCAAAGTTTCCAACAAATGTCCTTCACTCCACAAGCATTTGAGTTGAATAATTTTGAAAGTGATCCTTCAAGAACATACTTGATGGGAAAATCTCCATTCCCCCCAGTGGATGCATTTGTTGAATATATTGCTTCCGTAGGAAGTGTACCAGGTAAAAGACTAACACCTAACTTGTGTTACTTTGGAATATGACATGTGATTTATTAAACAGTACATTGTGTTAAATCCAATTTGGTAGCCAAAACTAGTAACAGTTACTGTGCTTTTCCTATCAATTTTTTTATTGCCAGGAAAAATTCGGAGTTGGTATTGGTTCTCAGAGTATGGACTGATAGTCTACAGCATGTCGAAAAACAGATATTGTGAAAGAATTGGGAGAGAACACAAAAGCAATCATGGTAATATTTTCTTTTTGTTCTTCTTTGATTTGCACACACTTTGTTTTGTTCAAGTCATAATTTTATCTATCTACCAAGTTAATAGTGTTAGCTTTCTATTCCCTCTAATAGTTCGTCGTGGGAGCCTCCCACCGGGGGCTCGCTATGCCAAAAAGTGAGAGAAACCTCATCCCTCTTTCCTTTTTTTGCCCCCATGTCCCACACTGGGATTGGGGTGACATGAGGGCGTAAAAAAGGGGATCCTATCAACTTGTTCTGACCTAGGATAATAAGCTCATGAGCTTGGTCTTACTTCACCGTTGAGAAATGAAAGAAGACTTCCATATCCTACCTTTTCTTCCTCCCACCTGGTGGTACACGTACCTTTTAGACCATGGCACACTACTTTTCCATAATTCCTTTTATATAAACTAGAACAGTAACCCACACTCATGGGGCATGACACTTAGTAATACTCTCTCCGCCTTTAATCTTTGGACTTTTGAAATAATAATAATAAGCTATGCAAAATAAAAAATAATCTTAATCATTTAGTTATTTGTAATTTTGTATATACTCCCTCCATTTGTCACAAGAGAGAAAACATATGAAATTTAGGAAGTTGTATTTAATGATATGTGGGACATAACATATAGTTTAATTGATTATTTCCATTCTTTCCCTTTAGTTAAATGTAGTATTCATTTTAGTAACTTTAATTACAAGTTAAAAGGATGGATACTGTAGGAAAACAACATGGAAAGTTATTTTGAAGTTAACACATGAACATAGTGTGGGGTTTGCCATGCAACTTGAAGCATCGATCCTTTGTGTGTCCTAACTTGTGGCAGTAGTCACAACGAGGTTGGTTGCCACGATGAGCTAAGTTTGGACGGAGGATAGCTAAGGTGAACACCATAAAGAATTTGTCACACTGCTTCACTTGACCATCTACAGTCTTCTCATTAGGCATCAGATTGTTATATTCTTGCTGTAATGCTTATATTCGGCGAAGGAATGCCAGTATATCCATATCAACTGTACCACGAAAATTAAGCATATTGGAAATTAGAGAATAAAGACTGAATATTATTAGTGTAATGGGACTTTGCAAACGTCATAACACGTTATGGAGTTTGGGATCAATCGATTGCCATAGCATATTGCACAACAACGCATCTACCTTCTCCCATTCGCCTTTATTCTCTTTAATGTCTTCAACCTTTGTGTCCAGATGAGTAGACATACCTTGGCCTTTAAGCTAGAGTTTCACGAACGCAGCCCAAGAGGCATAGTTTTCACCACCAGTTAATTTATCCATGGTAATGGCGGGAAAGGAGGTGAAAGTGATGGGATATGAAACCATAAAATATTCAGAAAAAGACAATGAAACTGTCTCAAGAGGTGGTTGGCGATGGAGGATCCGAACACACTCTAAGGGGCGCCTCTTCAAGGTGAGTCCAAGGGAAGCAATGACACTTTGAGCGGTGCCGCGGTGGTTTGGAGGAGGAGATCTGGCTAGAAAACCGATATGACTGAGACGGCGGTGACTCCGGTGAGGGCGTGTGCGATGGAGATTGGCGATGGGTCTTCAGGTGTAGGCTCGCGACGAGGTTCCGAGAGGCCTAGTGGTGAAATATTTGGAAAAAAACCACCCGACACTTCGGAACAAGCGATCCACTGTCGCGGGGAAAGAAAGGGAAAGCTAGGGTGTTTTAGGCTCTGATACCATGTTAGATAATATGAAAGAATAAAAGGGCTTCGTCCTATTATCTCAATAGGAGTATATAGAGATCTACTATTTATACAAGTATTAACCTAATGGGCCATTTCCTACAAGGAAGGCCTAGGGTTTGAACACAAACCATCGAGTGCCAGAAACATTTTTATTTGTGAGGGACCCCACACATCACTATGAATCAAAGAAAAAGCAGTTGAAGGGTTGTATGGAATTTGAGGATAAATTGTTTGGATATGCTTTGCAATCTGACATATTTCACAATGAAAAGATGTTGGAAGTTTTATTGATAAATAGTTTAGGAAACAATTTTGTGAGGTACACAAAGCTAGGATGACCAAGACCATAGTGTAATAATATGATTTAGCTATCTTTATTGACATTAGAATTGGACACAGAAAAGGACTCGAATATACTTTGAGATTAGACACAACTTGCTTGAGAAACTTGATTTGAGGATCGACAACATGAGAAGAGATAGATGAACTGCCAATAATCTACCCTGATTTCAAGTCTTGAAAAAACACACAAGTTTTGATAAAATTTTGTAACACCTTGAATATCAAGAGCCAATTTGCTAATGGACAAAAGATTACGATCCGAGTTTGGAACACGTAGGACAAAGTTGAGATACAACTATTTAATAAGTTAAATGGAACCTGTCCTATCAATTTTTGAACTTGAACAATCAACAATATGGACAAATTAGTAACCACTAATATCTGACTTCAGTATCTAAATCTTAGAGTTAAGTTGGTTTTGAACCATAAGATTGAAGGTTTGAAAAATTTTCCTAACCTTTGACTTTTCTCTCATAAGAAAAACCCAAGTTACTTGTGTATGATTATCAACAAATGTCACAAACCATTGAGTGCCAAAAACAATTTTTATTCATGAGGGGCACATCACTATGAATTAAAGAAAAAACAGTTGAAGGTTTGTATGGAATTTGAGGATAAACTGTTCGAGTCTGGTTTGCAATTTGACATATTTCACAATGAAAAGATGTTGGAGTTTTATTGATAAATAGTTTAGGAAACAATTTTGTGAGGTACACAAAGCTAGGATTACTAAGACGATAGTGTAACCATATTATTTCACTATCTTTATTGTCATTAGAATTGGACACAGAAAACATACTTTGGGATTGGACAGAACTTGCTTGAGAAACTTGATCTGAGGATCGACAAGATGAGAAGAGATAGAGCTTGGAACACAGTTCAACATTGCCCATCATCTTCCCTGATTTCAAGTCCTAAAAAACACACAAGTTCGGATAAAATTTAGTAACATATTGAATATCATGAGCCAATTTGCTACTGGACTAAAGATTACAATCCAAGTTTGGAACATTTTTGACAGAGTTGAGATACAACTCTTTAGTAAGTTGAATGGAACATGTCCCAGCAATTTTTGAACTTGAACCATCAACAATACGGACAAGTGAGTGACCTCTACTTGGCTTGTAATTTTGGAGAAGAGTAGCATCTCTTGTCATGTGATCAGAAGCACCTAAGTCAACTATGTCCGGCCTCATTCCTCCTTTGTTAATAGTGAAAGCTGTATGTGAATCTGTTTGAGCAACCATACCAGTCCCAAGAGAGGAATTATTGCCACCTAGGTTTGAAGATTTTGAATTGCCTCATGCTTCAAATATCGTGATGTTGGAAGTTTGTGATGAGGCCATTCCGTATTTTGTCATGGCTTGAGAATTGAGAAAGAAGCCTCGAAAAGTTGGCCCGAAGGGATTAGGGATTCATAGACCTAGCTCTAATACCGTGAAGAAGGTTTGAAATTCTTACTTAAACCAAATCTCTCCTTTATTCCTAAAATATTTTCCTAAAATAAACTCCCTAACTTTGACTCCCTGCTATTCAACATCATAATTTTAAAACTCGGACTATGGTATATCAAGATGCAATTTGCTATATGCACTGTTAAATACAAAGTGAATATTTGTAATCAAAAGTAAACACTAGTTCATACAAATTGAAAATCACCACATGTGGGACATTTACTACATTCAAATTTATTTTTAGTTTAAATCTCCAAATTAAAGTGAACATTAGATCGTGAAATGTGAAAGTTGTGATTTTGATGCATGCACAATAGTGTATGCATTTACCAATGATACAATAGTGCATGCATATATCTTTGTAATTGATGATGAGTTCATAGGAGGCAAATGGAGGACAAAAATGGAAATGGAAAACGTACGACTAATGGACTAAATGTGACAATTTAAAAAAAAAAATACTACTAAATGTGGAATTTGTGCAACAGTCAAGTACTAAAAATGAAATTTGCTCTGATGGAGATTACAAATTTATTAACGGTGGGTTCGTAGGACGCAAGCAAAGGACTAGAAGTGAAAAATATAGGACTAAATGTGGCAATTTTGAAACACTAAGACTAAATGTGGAATTGACGCAATAGTCGATGACTAAAAATGGAATTATTAGCTCTATATAGATATGTGCTTGAGAAATATGTGGTGAATAATTAGAAATAAATAGACACAAGTACTTTTTATGTGGAAACCGTATAGGTAAAAACCATGCATTTTTTTGCACTAAGTTAAGCCTATCAACTATTGTTTTTGGTCTTTGACTGGTATTGTGGGTCTTCAAATGGTTAGTTGACTGGGTCAACTATCTGAGGCTCCGAGCTGTGTTGTGCATCTGCTTGGGCTATGCTGGGCCTCAATCCATATTACCGTCTGACCTTTGGCTGATTGGGCAGAGGGGTATTTCCCTGACTGGTATCCTCCAACTTGGCCACATGGTGTGAGAACATTAACCTAGTTTTAAATTTTTAATTTCCTCACCTCAAGGTTTCATTAATTATGACATATTCTTTTCTATTTCATATAGATGTGTGTTTATAATTGCACAAAATATATTCTGAACCTGGATTACCGTTCAAGCTAGACTAGGTTGACTTTAGCAGTGATGTTGTCCATGTATTAACCTAATTCCTATGCCACATTCATCAAAGTTCTAGATCTGATTCATTAGTTCAAAACCTTGAATATATTAATTAATCTAAGTGATTTTAGCTTATTTAAAGCCAATAATTTGTAACAAAGTTCTATGCTAGATTGTGTTCTATTTTCCGTGGTGATCAGGAAGAAACATGTGAAGGCATTAGATAGCGACAAAGCCACCTCACAGAACTACAAACGGCAAATAAGTTCCTTGATAGCCCCCTTTCCTTCATCAATCCCAACTCTAAGTAATCTTTCTGGGCAGGAAATTTACCTTACGATAAAGCCACCTCACAGAACTACAAAAGGAAAATAAGTTTCTTGATAGCCCCCTTTCCTTCATCAATCCCAACTCTAAATAATCTTTCTGGGTAGGAAATTTACAATAGCGCTATTTATCTTGTTTCAGTTCTGTAAACATATTTGCTAAGGAGTTCTGTTGTAGTAATATACTCAAAGGTTAAAGATGTCTCATGTGCATTGACATACTTTCATTTGTTGGATGTGCTAGTGATGTATGTTGTTGATCTAAGAAGGGGTGATTATTATCAGAAGTGCCATGATCCCGATTGCAAAGGTAAGTGATCTCTTTATCACGCATTAATATATCTCCCTTCATACCAAAAAGTTACTTGTAACCTACTGATCTGGTTTGGTTGTTACAGGCTATCGATCCCCTTTACGTCCCATCCCTGGCAATGTTATAGCTCATTGTTCAGTGTCCTTTGACCTGGATAGTAATAATGAAGGTCGGGAGCACACACCTGTTGCTACTGATGCGAATATTGTAGACAGCTGCAAGAAAGAATGGTGGCTTGAGGCCATAAGATTTGCAGAACAGGTAGAGGGCATACCAAAAGCCTTGGAAATATCAGGCGTAAGTTTGATGCATTTCACAGTGATCTTCCATTAATGTTAGATTCATTCACATTCTTCTGCTTTTTTCCTTGCTCAGATGATGAACTGAAACCTTGGCCTCTCATTATTTCAGATAAAACTGGTTTAATTTGTTATTCTGTGTTTGAGAAACAGGATGGAGAATTAGAAGAAGATGAAGATTGGTGGAAGGCTGCCGAAAGGATTGCAACACAGACAGAATTGGCTTACCTTGGAAAACCTTAGTATCAGTTTATCAAATCGGTTTTTAGATTTTAAAGCTTAGCAAAAGAATACGTACAGTGAACTTGATGCTGTCCACGATAAGTTGTAGAACTTGATTCGGGTCGGATTTGAATTTTAACCCTCAAATCCAAAACCCGAACCGTTTTAATATTATTGTGTCTTGTTTATTAAGTGTCCAACCCGTCCAGGCTCGAATCCAACCCGAATTCGGGTCTTTTTTTTTTTTTTTTTTTTGGGGGTGGCTTAACCCGATGTTTGCCCATCCCTACCATGAGAGTTCAGTTGATAAAGGAGAGCAAGGTTGAAAATTTTGTATTGTTTGGTTCTTTTCTTTTTATTTTTTGGTGGCTTGATGTCGATGAACTAACTTTTCAGTTATGAAACCCAAAAACAATTGAATGAAAAATGAATTGTACAACTAGGGGCAGATCCAAAAAATTTCGCTAGTGGGGGTCAAAGATTAAAAACTAATGAAATATTTTAAAAAATTAAAATACATCAAAATGAGATAAAAAAAAATTATTCAAAACAAAATATGAAATTGGATAAAATAATTTGAATAGAGAACATATTATAAAACAATCATAACGCTATTAATATTTAAAAAAGGAATAAGGTTCAAATTGGCCACTGAACATAACCGGAAAATGCAATTAGGCCACTGAACGAACAAAAAGTGTAATTAGGCCACTGAACACTCCAAAAACGTGCAATTAGGCCACTAAACTCTCCAAACGTATGCAATTTTACCGGATAGCAGGTTACCATCAATTTTAGCAGGTTACCTGCTTACGTGGTAGCTGAGTTGGCATTTTTAATAATTTTTAATAATAAATTTTATAAAAAATTGAAAGAAAATTAAATAAAAAAATAAAATAAAGTCGTTTTTATTTTTTTAAAATTTTTTTAAATAAAAATTTATTATTAAAATTTATTAATAATGATTTAAAATTTATTAAAAATGCCAACTCAGCTGCCACGTAAGCTGATAACCTGCTAAAATTGAGAGTAACCTGCTATCAGGTGAAATTGCACATTTTTGGAGTGTTCAGTGGCCTAATTGCACTTTTTTTTTCGTTCAGTGGCCTAATTGCATTTTCAGGTTACGTTCAGTGGCCAATTTGAACCTTATTCCTTTAAAAAAATAAGAAAAAAACACAATGTTACAAAAAAAACATTTCACAAAATATGAAATATAATTAATTAGATAAAATAGTTTAAATAGAAAACATATTATAAATCACTATTAGTATTAAAATGAGATTTAAAACACAATGTTGTAGGATTTGAACCCCTAACATTTAAGAAAAAAACAAATGTCTTACAATCTAAGATAGCACATCCTTGATTAAATTTATGTAAATTTACTTTTATAAGTTAACTATGTAAGGAACCTATACATACAATATATATAAATGGGATGGGGTAGGGAAGTAGGGACAGTTGCTCCTACTGCCCCCATTGTGGCTCTGTCACTGTGTACAATCGTAAGAACTAGTACTAGTTAGGGGCGAGTAAGGATGTGCCAAATTCTCTCCAATTTGCCAAATTTGTCAAATTCGTTCTCATTCAATCTATATTCACTTAAAGTGGATGGGATGTAGATTCATTTAGTGGAAATCTGGTTCTTTGTCTTCTTTCTTTACCTCCATTTTTGTTTGCATGTGACGTTAAACCATAACATTGGTTCCATTGTCGGCATCATGGATGATCAACCTCCTAACAATGCAATTTCTAGAGCTGAGTACAACGACATATCCAAATCGGTTAAGGAACTGAAACATCCTTGGATGATCATATTCGTAACTATAATGTCATTCCCAAGCCACCACAACCAACTTCTTTCGCACTCCAACCTGTCACAGTTGAAGCTACACCCCTCACTAGTGATGATACCATCCCTCGTTCTCAATATATGTGCATGGAATTTCCTACGTTCTTTGGCCAATAGGACCCTCTTATTTGGCTCTATCGTTGTGAACTCTATTTTCATATTACTCAGACCCCGATTCGAGCTCAAGTCAAGTTGGCAACTTTTAATATGACTGGTGAAGCTCAATTGTGGTATTACCAAATCTTGCGAGATGAATCCTGAATAACTTGGGGTATTTTAAAGGATTATTGCAAGCTGTGTTTTGGCGCTTCTCGTAGTGTGAACCCCTTAGGGGAGTTGGTGAACATCAACTAGTGTGCATGCCATATTGATGAATATGTTTCGAACTGAGAATGAGATTAGGAAGTACGAACCAAAGAACACTCCTGCTGACCGGTGAGGCGGCGACTGGTCACCGGTGTTCCGTCACTTTCGGTGGCGGCTGGCGACTTGGCGAGGCAGTAGATGAGAGAGCCGAGGGGAAGGCAGAGAGGCGGAGAGCGAAGAATCGACGAGAGAGGTGGAGAGCGAGTGAGCGACGGCTACGGCGTAGAGAGGCAGAGTGCGAAAGAGACGGGGAGCGATTGACGGAGTGAGCAATGCAGAGCGGCATAAACAATGGAAAAAAAAATTATATATAATTACAGCCCCAAAACGACGTCGTTTTGGGCCTGTATAATTTTTGGCATTGCCCCCGGGCCAGCTCCGTCCAGAAACAATGAAATTGTGTGTGCTTCCTAAGTCAATCAAAGCAACGATCGGAAAACCAACAAAGCACCTAACGGGTTGATGTTCCAGTGTGGTCCAAAATGCAGGGTGCAAGAGTACTTGAATGGATTCCAAGAAAATTAGTGGCCATCCTACATGCGACATTTGTACCATAGTTGGGAGCCATCAAATATATAATAGGCTATCGTGGTGAGTTTTTCATGATCTGCATGTGGTGATTTCTCGAATAATAGCTCACAACTGTAATTTTGCATTTCCTCAATTTAAGGATATTAACGGGATTAACTAACTGATAGATTAGACTGACAGATTCAACGATGATATCAGTCAGTTAGATAGATGGGTGATATGACTGCAGAAAGAGAACTAAGGCAGATAGCAAAGAAACAACACACAAGATGTTTACCCAGTTCGATACAGTGTGTATCTACATCTGGGGGACGATCACAAAAGCGTCCAATCCACTAACTCATAATCCAATGTACAAAGGTAGAGAAACAATAATCTCATCCAAGTGCCACACACAAGGTACGTAACCAGTCTACACAGATTTAGTGGATTGTTGAAGTTGGAGAGCCGTGCATACAGGAAGTCCAATGAAATCTCTTCACTTGGAGAGCTAACTCTGATGCAGTCCACTTCAGTGACGCAGCCCAAAGAGTACTTATAGTTCCATAATAAGAACACTCTCCATAGATATCTCTGATTGTAGATGGTAGGACGATATAAGAAGAATGTAATCTTAAAGATCCGGTCCATACCTTTCCAAGACAGATACGCTGATCTTCTTTCCAAAACTGTCTTCTTAAACAGCGTTCTACAAAAAGGAAACATCTTCTTAAAACAGATCTTCAGTGTCAGTACGTCTGGTGCTGTATCTGATCAATCGGACCTCTATAACACAAACCGACACCATGCTAACCATATCTTAGATTGCCATAATAATAATGCCAATTATATGTTGGGGTTTTTTGAGCAATTAAAACACTAACAACAATGATGAAGCCAAACAAGAAGGTCCATTTTGTGATCAAACGTGGGAAACTCAAGTTTGGTGAATCATGTCGAAGGAATGGGATCAGTTGGTTGTAGTAGTGTGCTCTCTGGAGAGGCTTGGTTGCCAAGAGAGGTTGTCACAACAGTGGAAGTAGTGGCTTGCAATGTGAGGAAAGATTTCATAATCTTGGAGAGATTGGCTACAGTCTCGAAAAGCGATTCCACGGTCGTAGGAAGGTATTCAAACTTCTAGATGGATGTCTGAATAGCCCATACCTCGTTTTGTAGTTTTTTTTTTTTTTTTTTTTTTTGTATCACCCATGTTGATGCCCGGAAACAAAAGCAAAATGTTATGTTCTTTGCAGAATGTTATCATCAATGGGCAAGAAACATGGGCCGAACGCCTATGGTGAATGGATGGGTGTATGTAGATTGTAAAGTAGGAAGCTGAGATATGGTGTAATGAGTGTGAGGAGTTTCTAGAGTCTCTGACTCCCTGGTTTTGTTTAAAACTTTAGTGCATGTCTTTATTTCTCTATCAAAAGTCCTTTACTTATAATCAGTGTTGCAAATCGGCGCCTAGGTGCTAGGCGGCCCCCGGCCGCCGCGAGGAAGGCCGGAATCGGCCTCCTCAGCGGCCGGCTAGATGGTCTAGCCGGCTAAATCGTCGATTTTTATTTTTATTTTTTAGAATTTTGGGTTTAAAATTTTGTCGGGGCATAACTTTTTACTCGGTTGTCCGTTTTGGACAATATTTTTTTTCAAATTGCGTATTTTTTCAAACCGTTTGGACAAAGGCGGTTTGGCCACTAATTTCTCAAAAAAATGCTTCTTTAGTTCTTAATTTTAATTTTTTATGTATTTAGATGGTTTAAACAATCTTTTGAACAATTTTACAACCACTTACCTAAATAGTTTGTAAGAAATAACTATGGGAACCTTATGTTTTATTAGTGAATTTTGATAATTTTTAATTTTTAATTTTTTTTAATTAAAAAAATAAAAATAAAATAAAATAAAAAATCGACGCCCTAGGCGCCTAACGTGTTTTGCAACATTGCTTATAATAAAGAATTACTCCCTCTGTTCAATTTTATTTGTCCTATACTTACTATTTATTAGTCAAACCAACTCTTTCTTCTTTATTTATTTTCTTTAGTATTCTTTAATTATTTTTAAATTTGATTTTTTGTGTTTAATAGTACTTTTAATGTATTTTTTAAATATATAAATTTTATATACTAATACTAAACTTAATATTATGAAAAAAAATTCGATTAAAAATAACTCCAAGCCTCGTTAACCGAACCAGACACATAAAATGAGATGGAGGGAGTGCATATTAAGCAAAGTTTAAAAGGAAGGAAAATAATGTCTCCTTAAAATAAAGAGTGAATTCCATTTTTGGTCCTACTGTTATAGGGGCGTTTCCAATTTTAGTCCACCTTAATTTTTTTTGCCACTTTATAACTACTATTATTGAATGTGTTCCACTTTTAGTCCCGTTGTTAGTATTTCCATCAAGAGGCCGTGTAATCTAGGGGTATTTTGA